GGGTTTCGGGTAGTTTTTAATAATATCAAACTTGCTGTTGTCGGGCAAAATTCCTCTATCTGTACATTTGTGACCCACATACGTTACCTCGTGACAAAAAAACGTGCACTTTTCCGGATGTAGTTCGCCAGTTGTATTTTCTGCATATTTCAAAAACATTTTTTAAATTATTCAGCATGTGCTTTTCTGAACAACCTAGAACCACTAAATCTTCCATGTATAGGAAAGCTTGTGCAGGTGTTAAGCCCGCGAAAGCTAACGTCATCATGCGCTGAATTGAATTTGGAGCGACTTAAATCCCAAACCGAAGCCGCTTAAACCGGAATGAGCCTTTTTCGGTGGAAAATGAGGTTATATCTCTACTATTTTCATCAAGCTCAATTTGGTGAAACCCTGTCATTAGATCCAAGCAAGAAAAATACTTGGCTCTAGCTAGTTGATCTAAAATGTCATCTATGCGTGGCAACGGAAATTTATCTGCAAGAAGTTCCTTATTTATCTGCCTATAGTCCACTACTAAACGCCATGGTTTCTCTGTTTTCCCAGGTAATGTCTTTTTAGGAACTAGCAAAATTGGGCTATTGTACTCAGATATGGATGGTTCCACTATATCGTCTTCTAACAATTTATCGACTTGTTTTTGAACATCCGATTTCTGAGAGTAAGATATTCTGTAGTTTTTGACGTAAATCGGTATAGTGTCTTTAAGCCTCAGCTTTTGTCGATAAAAATTATTCCCACTTAGTTTTTCATTCTCTAGTCCGAAAACGTCAGTAAAATGAGTACATAAGTTAATTAGTTTTTGCTTTACAATCGCTGGAAAGCGCTGAGATAGTTTATCCATTACATTCGCGTCTCTACTTGTACTTAGTCCACTTTCAATAACTTCATAATCTGATAGTTTTTCTATGTAGATATGGAACTTTTCTATAAAAACATTCTCGTTATAATACGGACTATTGGATACGATCTTGAAACTATTGTACTAGCTACGTATATTCCGCTTTGAAGTTGTTGGTTCGGTATGAACGCATTCTCTTCATGAAAATCAACTTTAGTGTGTCTTACTACCTCGGATCGTGCTGGGAGTGATAACGAATTGGGAGACGGTGCGTTGTGCATTGGGATTGCGATATCCTCTGGAAAATTTTGCGGTTGTAAAACTAACCAATCTAGCTGAAGCCCGTATTCCAATTTGCAGTTAAATTTTTTTCAAAAAGTCTAGTCCCACAATTCCATTGCTTGGAATAGGGAACCTATCTTCTACTACATGAAAGTCGTTATTAATTAATATATTTCAACTTTTAAATCAGTATTAACATATCCAATAGTGGTTAAGGATCCTTGACCTATACCAGTTCTAATGTTCGTACTTATTTGTAGGTTTTTCTTAATGCAGTTGTGCTTTATGAGCGAGATATCCGCACCAGTGTCAACTAAAAAGTTGNAGTCGTTATTAATTAATATATTTCAACTTTTAAATCAGTATTAACATATCAAATAGTGGTTAAGGATCCTTGACCTATACCAGTTCTAATGTTCGTACTTATTTGTAGGTTTTTGTTAATGCAGTTGTGCTTTATGAGCGAGATATCCGCACCAGTGTCAACTAAAAAGTTGTTTCCGGGTACCCAAAGTTGTGAAAATCGAAATATAACTAACTAAGTGGAAAATATGATTAGTATGTTTTTAGTTTTAAATATTCAAGGGACTGTCCGTGTTTTCCGAATGCTCTACATCGTTTACGTAGCGTATAGGTCTTGGTGCGGAGCTACTGTTTCGATTTCGAGACCGATTGTCATTACTCCTCTGTAGTNCGAAATATAACTAACTAAGTGGAAAATATGATTAGTATGTTTTTAGTTTTAAATATTCAAGGGACTGTCCGTGTTTTCCGAATGCTCTACATCGTTTACGTAGCGTATAGGTTTTGGTGCGGAGCTACTGTTTCGATTTCGAGACCGATTGTCATTACTCCTCTGTAGTAACTACGGCCTCTCGTAAACCCACGACTACGATTGCCATTGAAGTTACTGTTAGTAAATTGAGCATTTGATTTACGTCCGCTAAGAAATTAAACTGAACCGTCATTTGTTTTGTTGCAACTGTTCACAAACTTTGTAACAGCCTCGTTCGTGTTAGTAAATTGACCGGATTTCATAATCAACTTTACTGCATTATTGCTCGCGTTCTTAGACATTGCTTGGACTGCCACCTTAGTGGAATATTTTTCTGTCATCTGAGGAGGCAATTCTAACTTAACCTTAGCGTATCCAAGAAGCCTTGCAAATTTTCCTGCCTACCATGGAATTCGGGTATCGCCTCGATGCCGTATTTAGAAATTCAATAACGGTTTGTGGCATTTTGCTGGTACTTTGCGTTTCTCCCACTACACTATCTTCTTCGGAATCACTTGATTCCTCTACTATTGTGTATAAAATGGGCGTGCTGAGTTCAAATGGTATTTTATGTTAATATGTTGTTTTGCAAATGTTTTAAGTATATTGTCTCGTACCTCTGNCCACTACACTATCTTCTTCGGAATCACTTGATTCCTCTACTATTGTGTATAAAATGGGCGTGCTGAGTTCAAATGGTATTTAATGTTAATATGTTGTTTTGCAAATGTTTTAAGTATATTGTCTCGTACCTCTAAATAGATTTGTTCTGCCTGCCTCTTTTGGCTTTCAAGACTGTGATCATAATTTGCGTTTAAAATTCCGCGAATTTGGTTGGCACTTTCAATTATTATTTGAACATGTTTATGACCGGTTTCACTTTTTATGTGTATCTTTTTATTTAAACATTTGCGAGATTTCTCGAAAATTTTTCTAAGTTGGTTAATTTTTGCCTCTACATCAGGCTCCATCAACTCACTAACAAAAGAACTTCGAAAATTGTGCACACCTACAAACAGTGTACGCGAGTGCCGCTAGCTCGACAAGTTTAAGCTCTGTCTCTCCGTGTATACATACACCACTCGGTGAGAAAATTGTACACCAGAAGAAATAAACTTAATANCTCTACATCAGGCTCCATCAACTCACTAACAAAAGAACTTCGAAAATTGTGCACACCAACAAACAGTGTACGCGAGTGCCGCTAGCTCGACAAGTTTAAGCTCTGTCTCTCCGTGTATACATACACCACTCGGTGAGAAAATTGTACTAGCTCTTAAACTAAAATAAATGCTTAACAGTAATGAAAAGAACTTACAATGAAATAGGTACAGCAATGACGTATACATAATATGCATATATTACTTATGTACATATGATGTATGTATATACATTGTGCGTTTTCAAACGATTAAAAAGAAATAAAAAAATAAAATCATCACCGAACCTTCTGATGCGTTTTTTTAGAACTGCTTTCAATCCATCACGTGGCCTGCCGCCTAATCCATTTGCTTTGCTTATTTGTACATTTTTTTTCTGCTTCACTTGCAAATCCTCTGGCAACCCGATGTTTTTGTGCAAATATGCGCTGATACAGGTAGATGTTTAAAGTTTTCCATAGTGTAACTGTAGCTGATATTGCGCCAAAAATTTCTTGTTCTTTCTTGCTCTTTGTTCTAGTTGGAAAGCTGATAAAACGATCATTAAAGAACCGCTACGCCAAGAAAATCGCAGTGCTGGTCAGCTACGAGCGCTGATTACAAAGAATGTTCCAGAGCTCAATAGTTGGCCACCAGTATATCACACATGGAAAGTTTGAGCTCTTGCCATTATTTTTTTCGTAATTGACTCCCAATAAATCCACCATTGACCGTAAAGTGGATGACCATTTCACTTTTAATATTTAGCAAAATATTTAATTTAAAAATTCTTGATTTTCAACACTTGGAAGCTCCTAGCAGGATCGCCATGTATTAAAAGGCTCCGTACGTTCTTGTAGAGAGTTGCCTTTATTCTGACATTGCTTCTTACATTGAGTTTATTCTTAGTGCTAGTATGCTCACAGTCTACAGCTGTAGATAAAAGCTTAACTTATCTAATTAGAAGTAACGAAGAACGCTGATGAAAACAAGAGGCGCACTAAGTTTTGGCAGTTTGTGCAGCCTTCTGGTCACTTGACATTTGGCTTTATTCACCGTAGGATGCAATATGAACTTCCGGCTAAAATCGCCCGCGCATCGCTTCGGGTCCGACGAAGCGTGGTCACCAAAGTCCATTTCAACTCTGTCGTCACGCTTCGTCGGGTTGGACAATGACCTCATGGTTGACCCAAGCTTACTCACACCAGAGGCGAAGTTGCAGGTCTTCAGATGCTCTTCCCATTTCTTCCGCTTATGTACATTCACAAGTTGCCGAATCTCCGAGTTGAGATCTCTGATACGGGGATTTCTGGGATCGGCCTGACGAAGGTTGTCGCGCTCATCGGCTAGGCTAGCCGCTTCAGCAGGAAAATTCGGACGGGGGTTCGAGATACATCCCGCTGAGACGAAGCGGGCTGCAGAAACAGTGACAACTCTTCGGAATTTACGCTCACCTACCTGAACGTCGGTTGGTGTGGGTAGTGCAGTGAAGGCGCATCCGCGAGGCCTTTCCAATCAGCTTTAGAAAAGTTGACATAGGTCCGGTGATCCGCGAAAGCAAAGTCGGCTGGTTTATCAATCGAGATGACTAGTGGCAGATGGTCTGATGCTAAAGTCAGCATAGGTCGCCATGATATGCTGTTTATCAGACCAGCACTGACTATTGTTAGGTCAGGTGAGCTGGAGTAGCTGCCCATAATTCTGGTGGGTGCGTCGTCGTTCATTGTGCTTTAAACTGGTAAAACCTCATAATGATTACCGTCCGTGGTACGTACATCTATGTATTTCTCAAAAAAAAAATATCTATTACCTATTGTAAGCCCATAACATGTACATTCCTATGCATGTACTCACAATAAAATTCTTTATTTCTAGAGCGAAGTCACATGTTATAAGAAATAGTATGTAGAATAGAAAAATTGAAAGTCATTCACGCTCGAAATTTTACTTTCATGGATTTCAGGAGCAAGAAATGGAGAAACAAAAACTTTTATTCCACCAAGCGCGGCTTTCAAACCGAGGCGTAGCGGAAATGGTGCTTCTTCATATATCCGCATCAAAAGGTGTGCCCTCAGAAATGGTCATGACAACTTTAAATTTGGGCATAGCAATACTACGCGGTGGCAACATAGATATTCAAATGGGAATGCTCAATCACTTAAAGGAGAAAAAAGATGTGGGCTTCTTCACATCCATTGCTGGACTTATGAATTCTTGTAGTGTACTAGATTTGGATGCATTCGAACGCAATACGAAAGCAGAAGGTATGTTATTTTGTGTACCCAAATTGTATATGTACAGTGACGAGCAAAACTGTAACATGGTTTAACACTTTTTGTTTGAGCCACCGCTATATTTCCAAGTTCTAACGACTTTCATCCTTTTGTTGTATATTCTTGTTGGTACATCCCTACTCCCTCTCTCATAATGATTTTAAGTCAATACAACAACAATAAAAAACCCAGCAGACAAAAATGTAAATTAAGGCAGATGTTACAGTTTTGCACTCACTCTCAGTTTTGCATTTGACAGTTATCTTTCACTTAGTTGGAAGTCAGATGACCTTTTTCTATATTGTAATTTATTGAAGAAGTGATCACCAGTAAATAACATAGTTAATCAGGAACCATAAATGTAAATAATAGATTTACTGCGGAAAGGCGGAAAAGTGGCAAAAAATTTTGGAATTTGCTACTTGAAAATATTAAGACTTAGAAAAAATTTAGCCTAAAGTGTTCCCAAGGACAAAGGAAGTCTGTTAAAAAATATTACGGTACGATATCTTGTGAACTTAGCAGCAAGTAGCGATGCAGCCACTATTACAGAAGCGCTTAAGGTATTAAAGTTTAAAGCAAATCAATAGACAGCGAGGCGAAGAATTGCCAAATTGAGCGCAAAGGCATCATAAAAAGGAAAAAAGAAAATTTGATCATAATACATCTGCGAGTGTGGCGGCATTTTGCTGCATCGCACGAAAACCGAACCGTTGCCTATTGGGATATGTTAGGCCGTTCAGAATGCAATAAAAACATATAAAACATATTTTTAAGTTTCAATTGAAGGTTATTTGGTCTGACAAGACTAAATTAATCGCTTTCAATCAGATGGCCGGGCATGGTATTGGAGCGCATCATGTACGGCAAACTGTGAATCACAGTGGTAGGATCTTAATTGTTTGGGGTTGTATTTCAAAAATATTGTTGGTTCGTTAGTACGCATTATGCGTAAGGAACAGTATATGTTCATATTTCAACAAAATTTGCAAGATGTAGTCGAAAAATGAGAGTTTCTGCTGAAAAATCACCCAAAACATACTGCACATGTTCGCAAAGACTGGATACAAAAGCAAAAATTTACTAATTTGAAATAACCTCCACAATCCGCGGACATGAATCTCATCGAGAATTTGCGAAATCAACTAAAAGCACAGCTTAATAAGTATCAAAGTCCGAAAAATCGAGTACATGAGCTGTGAAAGCAAACTAAGGATATACCTCCAGAATTTTTACAAAGATGCAAATAAGGTATGCCAAATCGCATCCAGGAACTGAAACAAGCAAAAGAGTACTGAACATTGTGTTAGTAGTTCTTGTTTTTTTGAAAATTGTTAAAAAGTTCTTAAAAATATATGAGTGCAAAACTGTAACATCTGCCTTAATTTACATTTTTTTCGGCTGGTTTTTTTATTGTTGTTGTATTGACTTCAAATCATTATGAGAGAGGGAGCAGGGATGTACCAACAAGAATATACAGCAAAAGTAAGAAAGTCGTTAGAACTTGGAAAGATAGCGATGGCTGAAGTAAAAAGTGTTACACCATGTTACAGTTTTGCCCGTCACTGTAAGTAAAAATGATATGTCCATTAATTACACTTATACAAAATACTAACATACATACCATTAGTTTTTTAGGTGTCTTTTTTTACATTTAAGTTAATAAAAAAGCTATTTGGCAATCTCCAAAAACAAACCCTGCTACATTAACAACTCACGCACAGAAAATTTTCTTTTCAATAATAAAATCAAAAAGAGAGATATCGAGCCCTAACCGCCAAAATAACGTAAGCGAATTTTTTTTCAAAATTTTCTTTTTGATGCAGAAATGTACCTAGATATATTCTAGGAATATTTCTGCATCAAAAAGAAGATTTTGAAAAAAATGTCGCTTACGTTATTTTGGCGGTTAGGGCTCGATATTTTGTTGCTACGGGTTTAACCATATTTTAGTTATCATATCAACGGCGTTCTTATTTCCGCTGGACTTACGATTAGGTTAGATTGAAATTACCGGATAAGCCCGTTGTGATTTCATGAACGGTTGAACAAAGATGTCAAGGGAATATATTTCTAAATCAGATATCGAATTATTTTAGTTTTAATTATAAATCCTCATATGCAAATAAGATTATGCAATCTCAAATTTATTACACACCCTCTTCAAAAGACGCACATCCCAAAAAAATTTAGGTCGATTTTTTTGCATAAATCAATTCGTAGGATTGGAGATAAATGGAATTTTTTCTTCATTATTATATTCTCTAACTACGGTTATATTTCTGCCTGATTATAATAAGGGTATCTGCATTTTTCTTCAAAAATGACTTATTTACATCGTTGAATTTGTCTTGAATTCAAAAATAGTTTTCAAATTATAAATAATGATAAAGTTATTGCAGATTTAAATCTTCACGTTTGAGTATCTACAGCAATTTTCGAGAAATCCTGATGTAAAGCGTGGGTATCTGCAAAAACATTGCAGTATCTACACTTTTTCCAGTAATTCAGCCGGAATTGTAGCTTGCGTAGTGATCAAAAACTATGTATCTACACTGCCGTATGCAGATACGTCGTTTTTGAAAAGTATTCTTGGTCGTTTGAGGCCAACGATCGTTTTTTGAACAACGTATGTATATACCTAATGTGACCAACCGTACTTCTTTCGGAAGTACAGTACTTCTTTTTGAGCCGTTGTACTTCGTACTTCGAAGTACAGTCAAATGTACTTCTTTGCAATATTTTGTACTACCTTTTAAGTTGAGTTTTCTTTAACTGATTTGAAAAATTCGAAAAGGTAAAGCTTGAAACACATTGGAAACGACGGGCTACGGACCACAGCTGTCAAATTGTTTTAACACGTACTCTTATGTCGATAACACTGTAACACTGCGACTAGCCAAAAATGTAACTGTGGCCAGATTGGATCTATTTCTATCAATATGCCAATCACTTCATATCTGTAGCTAACAAATTTCANCAGATTGGATCTATTTCTATCAATATGCCAATCACTTCACATCTGTAGCTAACAAATTTCATTATAAGTATTCAATCAATAAAAATTAAAAGATGTTTAAAGGCCGGTCCACATAGAACTTTCGCGTTGACTTTGGCGTTGGCGTTGGTTTGACAGAACGCACGTTAAAAGTATGCTTGCTACAATGAACGCTTGGCACCGAATGCCTTGGCCACTAAATTAACATACTACGACAGATAAATTAATAGTGCATATCAATAATTGCATGAAAAAAGTATTTTAGGGTTGTTCCTCCCTCCCCAGACCCGTTCTTAAAAGATGAAATACAGAGCTTTATGAAGGGAGATTTTAAAACAAGTTTTCGATTTATGATGCAGNTACGACAGATAAATTAATAGTGCATATCAATAATTGCATGAAAAAAGTATATTAGGGTTGTTCCTCCCTCCCCAGACCCGTTCTTAAAAGATGAAATACAGAGCTTTATGAAGGGAGATTTTAAAACAAGTTTTCGATTTATGATGCAGTATTTATTTTTTATACTACTCGGCTTTCTCATGGAAATTTAATTTATATTCTTATAACTCGAGTTTACATATCGCTTACTTCCTTCAAAGGTGTACTAATTCAATATTTACCTTATCTTGTCAATTTAACTGAATTAAGTTTTTCAAATAGGTGGCAACCCGCTTCAAAAGTTTTTTCGACAGTAAAGTTTCTTAAACTGCTTTAGTTTAACACCAGAATTGTAATATTTAAGTTATTTTATCAATTTAAATCAATGTTGGCCACTTCATAGGCACGCGTGCCAAAGCTTTTAAAAGCTTTCTGTTCAATTTGCATACGGCTGGCACAAAATAAAAGCATTTACTGGCCACCTCTGATTTAAATAATTAAAATTTTTCAAACATGAGACAACCCCCCTCAAATATTCCCGGCAGTAAACTTTCCTAAACCTCTTTATTTTGATACCCATATTGCAATATTTAATTTATCTTATTAATTAAAATAAATAAATTATTTCAAACAGGTGGCAACGTTAAAAAAAAATCAGCTGTGAGCCTTTTGAAACCTCTTTATTTTGACAGCCATATTGCAATATTTAATGTATCTTATCAATTTAGAAAAACTGTAATTTTCAAATAGGTGGAAACTCTCTAATTTTTATCTTCTCTATTTTAAGTTAGACCTCCAGCAATACATTGGTGAAAACTGCTTTCTATTTCTATTTCTATACAAACACATAGACATCCAAAATTTCTTAAAATTCTTGATTTGGATTCTGGTGCTCTTATAAAGGCCTCCATATTAATTTTTCTTTAATATCTATAATGTAAAAATTTTATTACATGTATTGAAATTCGGAATATGGTCGTACCCGCCTACTTATGCTTGGTAAGCACTTTATCGATTTCTACCAAGCCCAGTTCATTTATTTAAATTAATATATTAAATTATTTAAATTAAGTCTAATTGATGTTTGAAATCAAGGGAAACCCCCAGCTTTTCATGTACATGTTAAAAAAAGGTGAAATAAACTATATTTAATACGTGTGCCGGGTATATAAAGTTCGGCTTCGCCCCAACTTATACTTACTTACTTGTTAATTAAAAAATTCGATTTGTTGATTTGGTACACTGTCAACGTTGTCGTATATTCTGCTTTTATCATTTTTTCATTACTTTCACTCTACTTTTTTGGTTCTCAGATCTTGTACTTCTTTGAGCTATGAAATAGTTGGTCACATTATACATACCCACGTTCTTTGGCATTTTTGATGTTACAGAACGACGTATGTAACTTTTAATACAAAATAAGTTACAAATAATACAAATAAGATAAATAATACAAATAAAATACATATGTATTATTGGTTTCCTTTTCTTTTTTAACCGTTTTCACAAAAAGGAGGAAGGTTATCAATTCGTCGGAATATTTTTTTTTTTTGTGTATGATACCGAATAACTTTGGACCATGTTAATTCTTGTTTTAGGGGAAAGGTGTTATCTC